GAAGTTCACATATTCTATAAGAGACTGGGTTCGTGAGAACCTGGTATAAAATACGTGAGAGGGTAACACGAACACAGACGTTTAGCGACCGGAACAGCGGGCACCCATATTTTTGCAGAAGTTCAAAAATATATTAACAACCAAAAAAGCACACCCTACAACGATTTCGGTTTGGATTGTGACATCGTCCTCGAGACGTCAATAGACTAATCCAAGGATTCTCTATCGTTCCTGGAAGAATCCGAGTGGCAGGACAGGACCGAAAAAAGCTTCCTTTGAGATGGCAAAGAACATCTTTACGCGTTTGTGGTAATGAACTAATAGTGCCCTATAGTGGTTACTTCGTGATCCATGGAAAATCGTGCACGATTAGCACTCAACATGTTGATGAGAAAGGACAAGAGGGCTTCAAGTTGCAAACGACTCCACATACGAGCTTAACCATCTAAGTAGATGGTTTCTGCAAGACAACGAAACGAATGGAAGTGGTGGAATTCGCACATGTGAGCACAGTCACTGGATAAACTCCAAGGCTGGCATTCCTTCCACATCGATAAGAGCCAATTCATGACGGAAGATCTGTTTTCCCCAAGAAGTAATACAAGAATGTTTAAGAAACTGGTACGAATAGATCCCAGGATCGACTTTCTCTTAACCTCGGCAATGGAATATGAATGTGTCGTTTTCTTGTTCAGCAATCGCGAGGTTTTTAAACAGCATACATTTACTTCCATAGAGAAACACAATACAATACAACGCTAGTTGACGTTTCGGCAGTATCGCCTTCTTCAGAGCCTGGAAGGGTACTGATACTGATATACAATCTACTAGGTCAAACGCTTCAATAACACTTATAAAAAGACGGAAAACTCTATCTCGAGAAATTTGGGCGTTGGTGTTTTAGCCTCCCGTGCAATGATAGCGACTTTTACATCAAAATCGTCTCCGCTATGCTTTTGTATTTATATATATATATATATATGTATTATTGCTTTTGTATTATATTTTTTTCCTATGCGTGCCTTGTTTTGATTTTCGTTTGCCATCTAGGTGTTCCTTTATGCGGATACACAAAGGTCTGCCCGTTTCGCCAATATATTCATCTCCGCAATTGTTACACGAGATAAGCTATATCGTACTTGAACACATGCAGTCACCGTCTTTGCCGTAAGGGCAGATTACGCAATTTGGTGTTTCACATAGACGATCATACAGGCGGTTACGAACTAACTGACGATGTAGAGTATCCGGTGGTATTTCAACTGTCGCTACCGATTCCTCTAGATCTCCTCTTCTTAAGCATCGCTTTATCGATACACCTATTTCATCGCTAAGAAAGGGCAAGGTAAACGGGACTTTGTTTCGGCCAAACCGCTCGTTTTGGGGTGTCGCTTTCCTTCTACACTTATCTCGTAGGGTCACTACTTCGTAGCCATTGGAGAAGACTATTTGTCGAGCCAAGTCGTGCGATTCTTCCTTTAGTTCCCTGGTAGTGCACACAGAGGTGGCTGTTCGAAACATGTTTCTCACAATCGCCCTCTTTGTGTGTGAAGGGTGGGAAGAAAGGAAATGAACAAGGATGTTCTTGTTACTTGGCTTTCGATACCACTTTGTCATGTAACCGCTAGTTGATAGGTTTACTTGAACGTTTAAAAACGGAAGCCAGTTTTTTCTCTGCTTTTCCCGGGTGAACTTTATATATAGTGGCGGCTGCGATGGATGCACTTGCGTGGTAGTGACCGTTGAGCCGCTCATTACTTAGTAGTAGTAGTTCAGTGGTGAGAATATTAGGTTGTAGTAAATATTAGATAGTGTACGGACTATCGACTAGTTGTTGTCTCTGCTTGACTCTCGAAAGTGGATCTGTTTTTGTGATCCTTATTATTTGATGGTTCTGCAATATAGGTATTTACCCTTTGACGTCTGAGACGCTGTGAAATTCAGTCAAGAAATAGGTATCGTAGTTTTAGGGTACTACAATTGATCTGTAGGCTATGATTGCCCAATGAACCAACGACTAGGGTTCCACGTGAGAGTTTGGCGGTTGACTTGCTCCTTTGAGTGCAGCTCCACACGGTGTTGATCTGCTAGCTTTGACGAATTGTATTTGCTCGTTCTTCGCCACGCGGGTCTTGTGGTTATTGTCTTCACAGCGTAAATCTCAAACTCAAACTTGGGTAATTAAACCGTTTATACCAATATTATAATAATAACAAAGAGAAGATAATAAAAAACAGTATAAGTGGCGCGTTAATAACAGGATTACCAAAGAAGCGTAAGACAATCAGTAAAAGGATACCCTAAAGTAGGAGAGTAGTTGTATTGGCTATTGTGTTAATATGAGAGAGAGAGCTTTCATATAAAAGTACAATTTGACCTATAGAGGTGAAGAGCATATGGTAGCGCGGGTACCAATGGGGCCAGATGGTTGTTGGCGCGAATGGCATACCGTAATTAGCTACCGTACTAGTAGTGAGGAATGTGAAGAGAAAAGACAATGCTTAAGCCAGTGAGGTGTTAACATACAACAAAACTACAGAATATTGCTTAACTCTTACAGATACAATGTCATGATAAGTACGTATACTAGGGAAGATCAGTGCCTGTCTGAGAGGTTTTCCTACAATAAAGTACGGTAGCGCAATTCTATGACAAGAGGTGAACGAAGATGGTATGTGGCAGAAATTGAGATGGCGAGTGGGAGGAAATCCGACATGTGGGCCTCACCAGCAGACCGCGGTCCTTTTATACTGCCTCAGGGGGCGGGCAGATGGGTACTGTTGTTGACCCTTGCGTCGTCCTCGTATATCACAATTATGGTGGCAAATGCATAAGCAATATTGTGTTCCATCTGGTATTGAAAGTATATGATATTGTTTATACCAACGTATCCTTTATTCTTAACAACCTCAATTTGTGGGCAGATGCTGTTTATCGTTGGTGACCGCTCTTATTGTGCTGATAGATACTAATTATAGTTGGGTGACCCGCTATCGTTGTTGTCGTTGTTGCAGATAATTCCTTGCGTCACATCTGGCTAGACGTCAATCACTACCAGAAGATATATAGAATAAAGTTACTATAGAGGATATTATTTTCTACTAGATAATGTTTATTGGTCGACTTGTCGACATTATATACTCTAACTGCTCGCTCAATAATTCAAAGCATTTGTCCATCTCCTCCGTAGAGAAGACGACAAAACAATCATCTAAACATCTGCAGTAGAGTAGTGGCCGGAGATCGAGAACAGGGGCTTCTATCTTAGACATATACACAATGGCAAGGCTCGGTGCCAATCGCTCTCCCATTGCCAACCCCCTTATTTGCGCGAAATATTTCCCAGACCATCTGAAAATCGAGCAGTTTAGGCATTCCTTTAAGAGAGCTATTAGCTGCTGGATGCAAGCCAAGCATATTTATTCTTCCTTCATGTTCAACAAGAAGTTCGAAGATGGCTTGCATTGCCGAGTCATTCGATACGTTGGTGTACAGTGCGGTAACGTCGAAAGACTCCATCACGTACGCGTTATTAGGAGACGCGTTACGTAGACGTTCTAGGAACATTTGAGTGTTTGTGAGGTGAGCTGGAATGTGGTTAAGCAACTGGGTAAGTATCAGGCTTAAAAACCAGGTTATTCTATCCGTTGGCCCGTCTACACAGCTGATGATCGGTCTAACCTTAAACGATGACGGATTGGTTGACGCATGATCATCAGGTGATACCAACTTATGTGTTTTAATAAGTAGGTATAGGACGGGACATGTTGGTCTATCGATTTTTTATAAGTTAAGTTTACAAGGAGAACGACGCGCCCACGCGAAGCACTTGGCCAAAAGAAAGTCCCGATATAGTGATTTTACTCAGTAATATGAAACGTGAGCGGGTATTGTAGTGGTAGTGATCCGGTTCATAACACGGACTGCCCAACGCAGCCAGGTGCTGGCTCGATTCCCGTCTTGGGACCACGAAGCCTCTCTTCCTCGAGATCGGGAAGTTGGTGTCAAATTTATATGAGACAAGTTAACTTCCCCCAGTTACCTCGAGATCGCAGGCAATCAAATCTACTCGGCTAGCATTCAGCTGCATTTGCGACAAAGGCGAAGGTATGTCTAAGGGCAGCTGACATGCAAAAGTGTCCGCAGTACATTCGCGGATAGCCGGTGCGATGAAACGAGTCGAATACAAGAAGTCTTGGGATGGACACAATGTGGTACTTGTGATGTCGGGTCATGCGATAAACAGCAGAACGTAGAAACAACAGACTATTAAGTGGTTGGGAAGCATTTGGATGCTCCAATCTTACTCTGTGAAACAGATGTTCTCGGAACGCCGAACACTAATAAATTTATACCAATTCGTCTGCTAAAACCACGCTCACCTAGCGCACCATATTTTTACTGACCTTCCGTTATTTCTCCTTGCTGCGACGTTTATAATTTGGCCCACAGCGCTCGTCACTTCCTTTTCTGTATGGGTTGATGGATTCAAGTTAAAATACTAAGCATTGCTTGTTGCTAATGCTGAGAAAGTAGTGTTTCCAACGATGATGCGCTGGTTCCAACTTTCTCCTGTCGACTTTTCTATAACCCCAGATTCCTTTAGGACTGTGCGTGGATGAGCTATGAGTTTCACTAATGCTCACAATCCTCACGCCATGTAGTGTTCCAGTTGAAAGGGATTCTCCTGCAACTCTGGCTTAACGCGGGATGCCTTACCTTTAGCTTCATAACGAGCCGATTGCAATAGTTCACAGTCATACCCGAAGATATATGGAAGCGAAATCACATTTATTGGAAACATATAGTCCAAGAGTATTAATCTAGCATACAGCTTACACATTAGTATGAATATTTTGGCATCATGAAGTTGGCAATCACAATAGAAATTAGGCGAAAGTTAAGATACAAAGTAACATTAGGGATTATACGATGAGCAACATTAGTCCTGTCACATATGGTATGTGAAAACACCTCAAAGATCCTTCAGAAAAAGTATATCAATCACTGCTTTGTTTCTCGCCGTTTAGAAGATTAGAGGCCCAAGTTGACACCTCAGAAAAACGCTGATGAGCTTCGGAAAGCACCTGTAATAGTAATCAAGACATTAACTGCAAACAAAGAAGAGAATTTCTTTGTTTAAACGGAACGACTAGATTCATCATTAGCAAATAAAACTCACAACACCTAGAACACGTCCCTTTACCATAAATAATTAAATGATTAAGATTGAGAGTAAAGCGATTGGTTAACCAAACATTTCATTACAAAACCACAGTTAATCTTCAAGAGAATTCACATTCGCAAATTTCATTCCCGCAAATCGCATATGTCTTGTTGGAGCTTCCCTCGACCTCAACTTAACTGTTCAAACACTTCAATTATAGACACATAAGAACACCACTAAGCAAAGCTTAGAAACTTCACCACGAGCGAACGAGTTCAAAATTTATCCCATATTCTGATCCAAATTACCCTTTTTCATCAACCATGAAACAAATGAACACTAACCGATTTTAAAATAACACATACCGTACACCTATAACAGGTTAATTTCTGCTCTAACGCATTAAGAGCCAACAGAGTTTATCAACAAGTGTCAATACTTTGTGACATGTGTAGTTTAATCTTTGACTATCTTATTAGCTTGCAAATATTTCACCCTAATACTCTAAACACTGCATTACTCGTCTCTATTCTTTTTTCGCACCTGACCGGTTTACCAACACTCAAGAAGAGTATATATAGGTGTCGTCCTCTGTTGTAAAGCCGACTCCTGCTGCGCCACCAAAGTGGAGCAGTTGGGTATAAGCCTAGCGATTATGTGGAAGCGATTTCGTTTAAAGTAAATAAATGACTAAGTCACCAACCTCATCTCTGACTTCATAGATATTGTTTGATTCTCCCAAATTCCTGTCAAGTTCATGTAAGTAAGCGATTAAAGAATCGACTTTTGTGCCATCACTGAAGATCTAAAAATCAAATACAGCTTTACTTGCACAGAGCTACTGAACCACATTTTTGCCATTGTAGACAAACGAGAAAATCCAGAGTTACTAAGTTCCTTTATTTCTCTAACAGAAATACTAAAACATGTCCATGATTGCAAACCTGCTTATCCTTTAGCGCCTGCAGATTGTCCCTCAGCTGAACGGACGTAGAACGAATAGTTCTCATCAGTAGCTCCTCCGGTCTCGTTCTGTACTCTTTAGCTTCGCTCTCAATTCGCGACTTCAAATCGTACACAGAAGACGATAGTCCTCCGACTTTTTCCAGTGCCCATTCACCCTTACCACGAACATAATCAACCTTAATTGCAACTGTTGCCAAGACATTGAATCGTGAATAATTCTGGAGACCGTAAAGTAGCACTTACTAAGACAAAGCTCTTCCTCAGTTGGTCGAGAAGAACTCGAAGTGGAGCGACGACAGGATCGATAACTTTTGAATGCGCCTTGAATTACAAGTTAATATTCAGAATTCGCAAATTTCACTAACAAAATTGAAATCAAACAATACTTTGTTGTTGAAGGCGTCAACGATTTTGTGCGCTAGGTGGCTTACACGCTGCTTCACAGAGCAATCCGCATTTTCTTCAACCACAATACCAAAAGATCGTTCTACTAAGACGCTGACAACATCCAAAAAGATATTAGTGCCCTCAGTCACTTTATCTACAGGAATCTAAACAGTTGTAATATGAAAACAGAACTCTGACCACTAAAGCAGCTCTAAAGCGTTAGAGCGACGAGCCATAACCAAGCAGAGCATCGCTATATGAAAAAGTTGACGATAGTGGGAAAAACACTCGTGAACCTTAGCGACGCGTATTCCTTCTTCAACAGCTGCCCAAATCTTTTGCTCAACGGCTTTTTCCGTGTTTCGAATGGAGGAGAGGAACTCCTGACCGGTTCGGTGTGCCTCTCCAACGGAATTGATAATAAGAAGAGCACAACCACTTGATAGTGCCAAACTCAGCTAAATGAAGGGTAAGAATAAATTGGAAATTCTATGAAATGATGCACTAAATTATAGCTTATTCCCAGTCACATAAAGTTATTGAGTCTTCTGACTAAAGAGTTAATAAGTTTACAACATTCTAAGCTCAGTCCATCCTAACAAAATGCTTCACTATCTCCACTATGAAGAGGATAAGGGATAAATCTCTCGGCGTTGATTAATCCTTTAGGGATGCGCCATGTATTCGACTTCATTAAGTATCGTTGAAGGTGATTGAATGCACATCTTGCCTTTACAATGACCCGCGGTGGTATACCGATGCATAGAGCCAGTGCTATCCTCCCAGATAAGGTATCAATCTGCCCACCTCGGAGGGATGGAAGGCTTGATGGGCCATGAGCGTGGGGATGGATTCCACGTGTGTTGCAGGGCGCCCCCGCCCACTGCACCACATACGCTCTTATCTCTACTATACAATCTAGTTTCCCCTAAAACATTACTAAAACGCCATCGCTCAAAAAGTATAGCAAGAAGTTTTTGTCGAGTTCTGTAGCAAACAGCACTAAAACTTTGCAACAAATTTTCTAAATTATAAAGTAAGCTCAAGAGATAGTAAGAGGGGTCACGGCAGCATCATTTATAAGGCGTAATGAGAATAAGAAAATAGTGATCAATACTGGTGACATTTCCCTCACGAAACTTATAAAGAAACCACACCAGTGTAGACCACTTATGTAAACCTTCAAACTAACCTGTGCGGCCACCACTGCAGCGCCAATTCCAAATGTTCCACCTTTCACGACGATGTTCTTCGACGTTTCCACGATCGATTTTGTTTTTTCAACACCTAAATATCATCCTTAACTTTCACATGCATTATACGGCACATCCTCCCAACGGTTTACCGCCTCATTGCGGCTGGGAGGTGCCCCTGGGTGTAGAGTTGCGATGTACAGCGGAGGGATTAGTAACACCACCAGGGTTTCCCAAGCCGAAGAGTCCGGTGTTTCCACCAAGAAACCCAGCTAAGAGTAAACCAATACCAGGATCCACCACCGTCTTGGTATCAAACTAGTCGCATGGTGACAAATCTCCCTCTGATCCACAAAAGCGGCGACTCCCTATGGTGATGACGACCTGGCGTGGACTTTGGCCAGGCTGACCTCAGGACTCCACGGAAACACAATGGCTAAACCAGTAAAACTACAAAAAAGGGAAAGGTTATGCAGGAGTCCGCACAACCACTGAGGACGGGCCGTCCAAGTATACAAGCGATACACAGAGACTACTTCGATGAAACATCATTTTAGCAATGTTTTACTGAGAAAAAGCAAATTCTGAACGTTAGTTCCTAATCAGTTGCTCCATGCCAGTATATTTAACAACAGTAAACATTTAACAATGGAAAGGAGCCGATTTTCATAGGCATTGGCCTCTGACAAGTAATGTGAAGGATAATTATGCGAACAACACTTTTGGAAGAAACCAAACAAATCGGCTGCTGATTAGTGTAAAAGCACCGAACCGAAGTCCAGACATCCCTCTGAGCTACCTTTCCTTTCCATTTGATTCATACCATATTAAGTGTGCAACGGTTACCCTTCTGAGGACAATGCGCATTGATTCCAATATCTATGCTTGTTTCCGACCGTACAACTTGATCTCAATGCGCAAGATTTCTTCCGGCTTGCATCACCACATAGAGCTTTTTCGCCATATATTCAGCCAATCAATAGCTTGTTGAACCCAGATTTTCTACTTCAGCCGGGCCATGGACAGGCATTCCTAACGCGCTATACGTGCAAAGTCCTTTCTGACAGTGGAATGGAATCGGTGGATAGAAAAACATGAAACAGGCAAAGGAATACCCTAGAAATGTCGTACAAAACAACGAGAAAAACCGATAACACCGTGATTAGATAATGGGCGAATTTTTTCCTCGGTCACGCAAAAAAGTGGCCAAGAATACGAAGGCATGCCCAGAACACGGATACGTGGAATTTAGAGAGACAAGAAGTATGTCAAACGACTAGGAAATATAACGACAACCACGTGAAACCGTTACGCCGTGCTCTTCGACCTGGCTCATGGACCGTACATCTTGGTTTTAATGCGCACTTCGACTGCGCTCCACTGACCTACACCGTCCGTCCGACAAACGCTCACGCGAAAATGGCCGCGGTTGTGAAAGGGTTAGAAATACTTGATGTCATTGCTTCTCACAAGGTCCTAGTATATGTTTGTTTGATTTCCTTTCACAGGATATCCTTATACACGGGATCAGAAAGTGGTCACTTCGTAGGCTTCCCATTCCAGAACTTCCAGTTTGCGCGATATTTACTCAGCAGATCTCCTACGCTTGCATGTCATACTACTCTCTCAGGTGTTTTTTAACAGTAAGGTTTCTCCACTAGTCATTTCTTAAATCTGCAAATGTACGTTCAAAAGCGATGAGATGAGAATTTTAACTCATTCTTCTAAATGTGTGAAACCAAAAACAGCTCGGACTTTTTACCTGCAGTATACACCGAAGTGACGGCTTCTCTTGGACGAACATAGTAGCTCTGATGAGCTTCCAGAACTTTCTTCGTGGTTGTTTGTGCTACGGTTGAAACCCGACTTTCTACACCATCGAGAGTCGATTCAAGAAATTTCGATCTGTGCTTTGTCCAATCATAAGTCGCGAGTACCTGAATTTAAGAAAAAGTCCTAAGTATGTACCATTAATCACGGTCAAAGGATGACTGTGGAATGTGGAAAAGAATAACACAGCACACCTTCTGGATCCAAGGGCTTCGTAGCAGATAGTTGTAGTAGCTCGAGTAATCTAGTTCGGTCTTCTGTTGATTGATTTGTGGAAAATTCTCATCAATTTGCATTGTAGGAGGTCTGAGACGACAAATTAAGTTAAAAAGCAGAAAGCAAATGAGGAAACAGGAGGAGACCAAGACTGACAAGAAACTCACAACCGTGGCAAAATCGTTCACAAACGGAGATCGATATCGACATAAGGAAGGATGGTAACAAACAACTACAGTACAAGAGGTCATGATGACATTCTGGTCGTTGTTCAGGTCTCTACACTATTCCCCGAAAAGAAACAAAGGTCGCCACCCACACAGATTCATGCCAAACAACTACTGCAGTATTCCGAACATAGAAGATGGATTGTTATAGAACAAGTTCAGTAACTACATAGTGCGTTCAGATGAGTAACTAACAAGTAAACCATAGCGGTCGGATACCCAAGAAGTTGGCGAGGTCTCCTGAGATGTGGGCTGGCCAGTCCTGGAGGTTGCCGGCCCACCATCGGGTCAAAGTGCACTCGCCCCGCCACAGCGTAGCTCGCGAGACATCGATCAGCGCCGAGTGCTGAGCTAATCAATCTATCAACAACTCTTTTTTCATATTTTAGGGCGCATTTTAGCTTAGTCACAAAAAAACCGTCCATTTTTTGGTTTCTGAATGCCGCAAGGGCTATAAGAGTTCGAAAAATAGTTCTGGATTGTGTATTACCTATGGACCAAATTTCTTGGAGCGAAGTAGAGTTGATATTCAACAGTATTGGAAACGCTCATAGTTCCAGTGTCAAGTGTGTGATTACAACCAGCTCCCACAAACTAAAATCTCTCTCAAAACTTATTTGTAGATCATTTCAGAAAATGATTGCGAATTGAAAAAAACAGGTCATTATTAGAAGTCCAGAAAATTCTGAATTCTCCTTTTGTCCTGTAGTAGCGCCAACTTCATTCATCTCTAGTAAATAGAACACCATAAAGTAAGAGATCTACAGTCCTGAAAATAAGGAGATACCACGAAGTAAAAGGATGGAATGAAATTTTTGAGTTAGAAGATAAACATGGAATGTTGAACAAAGGCCACAAATATAGATAGAAAATGAGTAAGAAGAGAAAGAACACTATTAAAGTACTAGAAAACGGTAGAATTCGGCGATACTAAAGTCTGAATCTTATTAAACTCGGAAATAATGATCTGAGCACCCATGAACGTCCTTAACGGGAACCATCAGAACTGGGCCAGAAACGAAAGCGCTGGACACGGCTGGTCGAGTGCGGTGATTTAGAGGACAACTTAGGAGAAAAATAACCCACAGACTTTATTCCTCGCCAATATTGGCGGGACCTTTGTCAGAGATCAAATACCGGCAGAAAACGCAACGGAACGGTTTGCTTGGAACCGAACTGACTAGGTGGTTACGGTTTTCGACGTTGTCAGTTTGATCGCGAATGTTCTCTCAGCATGGTATGGATAAGGCACTTGAATTGAGGTATCCTATGGGAAAACAGAAAATCAAGTACCGTGTGAACCGATGTAGATCTAACGATGACCTTTGAGTAGATACGAGTATCAAATGGTAGTCTCGTATCTACTGGCCATCTGAAAGAATTTGAGATGAGCTCGCAACGGATCGGTAAAGCTACGTTTCATTGCTTCAAGATACCAAATGACGATGTAGTTCCGAAAAAGTACTATGTATCGGCTAGTTCATAAGAGAACAATTGTCACTGAATAATTACTTTTTCTCTATCTTGTGTTCTGGTCTGCAGGACTACTTCCTTGCATTGGAAAAGCGACGAAGCATGAATAAGTGAAGTGAACATTTTTGGAACGGAACTGATTAAGGAGAACGAACTGAAATGTGTAAAGTTCTCTATAATCTTTCCAGATGGGACAGTATTGTGATAGAATTGTTGTGGGGAAATTGTTAACACTGGTGATGCACACATAGGATAAAGAAAAAAGGGTAAAGCTCCCCGTGTTAATCAATCCCTAAGGGATGCGTCATGCATTCGACTTCATTGAGCATCGTTGGAGGTGACTGAATGCATATCTGGGCTTTACAATGACTCGTGGTGGCCTACCGATGAATCCAGTCAGTGCTGCTATCCTCCCAGACAAGTGTGGTAGGTACCAATTTGGCGACCCCGGAGAGATGGAAGGCTTGGTGAGTCACGGGCACAAGGATCGATCCTATGTGTGCGTCGCAGGGTGCCACCGACCATTACGCCACGAGGGAGTTCCCTGTACATATAGGAACAGAGACAATTCTCTGTGAGATGGACAATAGTCTTGTGTATTAAATTTTCACTTAACAATGCATATCGAGAGATAAACATGTCCCATTATCTCCTTACTAAGATTTTCTTTAGTTGGGGAAGGGTGTAAATAAAAATGCGTGAAAATCTGTAGAAAAAAATGCCAATTATCGCCGTTGCTGCAATAGAGAAGTAGTACTGGATTATCCATAAAATTCTCTCAAGGCTTTACCTGGCGGTGAGGTGTCCCTGGGTGTGGGAAGCCAAATATAACCACAATGCTGCTGAGATATTTGCAAAAGTCTGGACCACAGGTGTCTAAAGTGGGGAACGAACGTGCTATTGTCCTTTCCGGGGAGGAACGCATTCACCACCACACTATGCTGGTCCTTCGTTTCGCCTGTCTCTCAGCTAGTTCTATCAATCCCGCTGACGGGTGACTTCTGATGGCAAAAGATCGATAGAACTAGCTGAGAGACAGGCGAAACGAGAGACCCGCATGGTGTGGTGGTGAACGCGTTACTCCCCGGAAAGGACAATAGCGCGTTCGTTCCCCACCGCAAGCACCTGCGGTCCGGAGTTTTGCCAATGTCTCAGCATTATAATAGTTGCATAGCGACAAATCTCATTCTAATCCACAAGGGTGGCGAATGCCTAAGGTAGTGACGACTTGAGGAAGACTTTGGTTAGGCTGGCCCTGGATTTCCAGCGAACCACATTGTTTAAACGAGTAAGTCTCTAGCCTCAGTACCACACACACTACGTGTTCACGTTTGCGACATGAAGAACTGAAAA